ATATCTTGTTTGTTTTTTTGTGCTTCCTTTCATCTTTTTTGGGTGGGAATGAGGCTGCTCCATCCCCTGCATTAATCCTAACATTGACATAGACAACCCAGGGCCAAGCACCAGCCACCACCTCCACTTTCTTTCTTCTTCATCACCTTTATAAAACCCCACACATTTATTCCCTTCAACACTACTTACTGATCAAATCCACCTTCCTTGCTAGCTAACAGCTGCAGGCTCTCTCCACAAAGAAAAGCGGGGAGTTGAAACAGAGAACGGTCCTCTCCCAATCGTATAGCGATCGAGCTAGCTACCAGCATGTCGCTGAACATAACAAACATAAAAACATCGTCCGATGGAGCTTGGCAGGGCGACAACCCTCTCAACTCTGCTTTCCCTTTGCTCATCCTTCAGACCATCCTCGTCCTCTTCATCACCCGCTCCCTCGCCTTCCTCCTCCGCCCCCTCCGCCAGCCACGTGTCATCGCCGAAATTCTGGTACGCCCCCCAAATATTCACATAAATTTAATTATGTTCTATCCCACGAAAAAAAAAATATTGATTTTGTTCATTTTTTTTTGTAGGGAGGAATTCTGCTAGGGCCGTCAGCGTTGGGCCGAAACAAGCAGATCTTCCACTTGGTATTCCCGTCATGGAGCACTCCAATCCTGGAGTCCGTAGCCAGCATTGGGCTCCTATTCTTCCTATTCTTAGTGGGCCTGGAGCTGGACCTGGCCTCCATCCGCCAGTCCAGCAGGAGGGCCTTCTGCATCGCACTCGCCGGGATCTCACTCCCTTTCCTCTTCGCCGCCGCCGTCTCCTTCATCCTCCGCCGATCAGGATTCGACGACGAGGTCCCCTACGGCCAGCTCCTCCTCTTCCTCGGAGTCTCCCTCTCCATCACCGCGTTCCCTGTTCTCGCCCGCATCCTAGCCGAGCTCAAGCTCCTCACGACCCAAGTGGGCCAGACCGCGATGGCCGCGGCAGCATTCAACGACGTCGTGGCGTGGATTCTCCTCGCACTAGCTGTGGCCCTCGCTGGGCCCAGTGGGCCCAGCTCAGGCCCACTGGTGTCGGTCTGGATCCTCGCCTCTGGGCTGGGCTTCGTGGCCTTCATGCTGGTTGTGGTCCGCCGGGTCATGGAGTGGATCGCCAAGAAGTGCTCCTCCCCGGCGCCGGAGCGGGCTTTCGCCGACGAGGCCTACATCTGCCTGACGCTGGCCGGAGTGATGGCTTCCGGGTTCATGACGGATCTCATCGGGATCCACGCGATCTTCGGCGCGTTCGTGTTCGGGTTGACTATCCCGAAGGGCGGGGAATTTGCCGGCAGGGTGATGAAGAGGATTGAGGATTTCGTGACGGGCTTGCTGCTGCCGTTGTACTTCGCGTCGAGCGGGCTGAAGACCGACGTGGCGAAGATTCAGGGGGCGGAGGCTTGGGGGTTGCTGGCGGTGGTGATATCGACGGCTTGCGCCGGGAAGATTCTGGGGACGTTCGCGGTGGCGATGATGTGTATGATGCCGGCGAGGGAGTCGTTGGCGCTTGGGGTTTTGATGAACACCAAGGGATTGGTGGAGCTTATTGTGCTGAATATCGGCAGGGAGAAGAAGGTAAATAAAAGCTCAATTTTCACTCTTTTAGTTTTTTTTTTTTTTGACAATATTTCGCTCTTTTAGTTGCCGAACATATTTCAAATTGATTCTGAATGCGTGTTAATAATGATTCTAGTTTTGATCTAAACAATTAACCACTCGAAACATGTCGTAAACTAGCTGGTCATAATAACTCTAGGCTTTGAAAGAACGTTATTATGGATTTTATATCATTCTCTAACACGCCCCCATCAAACGAAAGCCAACTCACGGACTTGAAGATATTGGGGGTCGTGGAGATTCAAACACATCATGACCATTTAGTTAAAACAGTTCTGATACTATGTAAAACCAGTTGATTCCAATAACTCAAGTTTTTGGAAAAAGGTTATTATGAATCTTATATGATTCTCTAACAAACCAACTCATTCAAATCGCATATTTGTGATACTTTTTATAGACAAAATAAAGTATCTTTTTATGACTTGAATTCATGTCATTTAGGTGAAAATAAATATTACGACTGATTACTGATTAGACGACGGAAAATTTTGTTGTTTTTTAATATTGATACATCAGTTAAATGGTTGTATTTTAAGATTATGACGTTCGGTAGTTGTGATTATATTCTTATAAATAAAATAGGAAAACTACTTACGAATAAGAATTTGATCTAATGATAATATCACTAATCTAATATTGAAGTCAACCGTATATAATATGCTGAGGAGACCACATAAGAAAAATAAATTAGCTCACAATCTTAAAAATCTCATCAAATAGTTTAAATTCTAAATCAATCATTTTGAAAATTTTCAAATATCATATTTATAATATACGAAATGACACTATAATTTATGAATGGGGAATTTCTCTTTCGAGAAGATAGTGGAGACAATATTATAATTTCCCATGTATTTGCACAAGTGGGATGGCTTGGATTCGACCGCCACTTCATTCATAATTTAATTTCTAATTGTACTATTACATATATGTCACTCTCATTGCCTATTATTCTAATATTCTTTTTCAACTTTTTGCTAAATATATCGTGCGCATGAAATGCAAATGATGTTGCCTGATTCTTGGATCCAGGATTTTCCCATCATTTTGTTCAGGAAAAGTTTAAATAAGATTCCTAACTTCGTATTACTTGTTAGTGTTATTCTTTGGCGATTTGATTAGATGTAACCTATTTTTTATGAATAAGATTATACTTAATTACACACACGAACTAATGACAATTTTAATATACTGTCCCGGCCCGTTGTTACAGTTATATGAAACTACTATCAAATCAACCAAAAATGTTTGCTTTAATTAAATTAAACTAACTAGATAGAAATCACAACTAACTAGTAGGGAGGACACTAGAAATGAGAGAGTTACTTAGATTTGAATCCTTCTCGCGATAGAACGATATGTGACCAATGCAAGCCTTAACAGAACTTTCCCTATCCTCTAAGTTGCGAGAAATCTCCCAGACTAGTGATTGAGTCAATGGGCATGCTCTCAAACATTTTTCTAGGTATCTAATTTAGCCCAATGGTCATGTAAGAACTTGGAACCTAGAGCATTAGGCCTAGACTTCTCCAATGGGTTAAATCCCTAGCAAATAAATCCACAACACAATGGTCATGCAATTACAACTTCACTCTATTGACAAGTATTCTAACCTTAACCTAATTATAATTGGTCACTCTTTTAGGGCAAGAAAACACATCCAATCGCTTTATCAAGCTTGTGGATAGTAAAATTAAACATCAATAGACATTGATAGATGAACACACTCTCGTCGACTCCCCTTCGTCAAGTGCTGAAAAATGGCTTAAATAGTAAAATCCAGCCCCAACCGTTAAACATCAACATAAGACATGTCATGGCTTGACCTTGCCTATGACCAATAACACAACGCTTGGTCATCAAATTCCGACGGCGTCTTAACCACAATCAAACATATCAACTGTGATCTTCAAAGTGATGTCGTGTCCTCGACCACCATCTGGACTGTTAGAACCTCTACATTTTCGTCATTTTTGTTTGAGTTCACAACCGATGAAAAAGATTCACTGTCGACCTATCGTGACCTTTCAATTCATGATGTAGATCACAACTTGATGTGTGTGACCTATCATTTAGCCTCCTTCTCTCCCTCATATGCATTGCACAAGTGCCCGGATTGACTCCAAATTGATCCCCAGTCGATGTTGGAACACAATATATAACACCACGCAAGCATAAAACATGCCAAAGTAGGAAAGCGCTCAAAAAGACATCAACTCTTGCTAAAACTCATAACTTCTAACAATTAAGTCATATTAGCACAAATAGATTACAATGTGACCTAAGTACGATGATTGTCGCACACAAACAACTAAATAACGGCGGGTAGAAAGTTCAAAATTCAGTGTTATCAATTTACCCGTTAATCACTCTTTAATTTGATTCAAATCATATGAGAGTGAACTAAGAAAAGCTTTACATGTTATTGAGTGTTTAATACTCAATAGTAGGTATTGTGTTTTTCAAGAAACAAAATTGGAGCAAAAATTCTTGATAGCTATTAGTTATTGTAACTTCCAAATTATATATAGTTGTCTGTACACCTTCATTCAACTTATTGTACACCTTCTGGTCCAAATTCAAACAATCACCTTGACTCTGAACTTTGGACTTTGAACTTTGAACCCAGGTTCTCAACGACGAGATGTTTGCTATCCTGGTCCTAATGGCACTCTTCACCACCTTCATGACGACTCCCACAGTGATGGCCATCTACAAGCCTTCCCAGACCACCCGCCGCCGGTCGCACGAGCTCCAGGACACTTCCCAGCCGGAGCTCAGAATCCTAGCCTGCATCCACAGCTCCAGAAACGTGCCATCCCTAATCAACCTCATCGACGCAACCACCAGCGCCGCCGCCAAACCCACGCTCCACCTCTTCGCCATCCACTTGGTCGAGCTCACGGACCGATCCTCCTCCATAATGATGGTCCAACGAGCTCGTCGAAACGGCCTCCCCTTCATCAACTGCTTCACCATACCGGGGACGAGGAGAGCTGCTTCCTCTCCCAACAACTACCAGATCGCAGCGTCGTTCGAGTCGTACTGCCACGCCAGCAGGGTCACCGTCCACCACTCCACAGCGATATCCGCGCTGCACTCGATGCACGAGGACATCTGCCACGTGGCGGAGGACAAGAGGGCGTCGGTCATCATCCTGCCTTTCCACAAGCAATGGACAATGTCGTCGGGCAGGGGATGCGGAGGAGAAGGCGATGGCAACGACGATGAGGGAGTAGAGAACGTGGGGAATGGATGGAGGGTTGTGAATAGGAGGGTTTTGGAGACCGCCACGTGCTCGGTGGCCGTGTTTGTGGACCGTGGGTTTAGCGGCGGCGGTCTAGATAGCCCGGAGGAGGCTGCTGCTAAGAAGGTTTGCGTTCTGTTCTTCGGAGGTGCCGATGACCGTGAGGCTCTGAAGATCGGGTGTGGGATGGCAGAAAACCCAGCTGTTAGTTTGACTGTGATCAGGTTCCTGGGCGACTCGTGCGACGAATCGGACGAGGCAGTGCTGAGCGAAGCGAAAGTAAACCTCGCGGCGGAGGACGAGTACATAGAGAAGAAGGTGGCGGCAAAGAAGGTGGTAGAGGAGTTGGTTAGCATAGTACGGGGAAAGGGTTTTCAGCTTGTGGTTGTGGGAAGAAATGGAGCTAAGATAGGAGACATGGAAGAACATCAGGCTGATAATCCAGAACTGGGCACTGTTGGAGATATACTCTTAGCTTCAACAGCAACAGGGACATCTCTGCTCGTGATTCAGCACCACGATGGCAAAGAGATGAAAGGCAAGGAATCTGTTGGAGAATGCTCTGTGTAATGTGTGTTTTACCCTAAGGGGTACAAGTCTATTAAGATAGACTAGGGGTCGTTATGTACAAGTGCCAAGGCGTGAATGCTAAGCCCTGGTGAAATCGACACCACAACTGTAAGCTGCATAAATAAAGCAAGTCCGAGACTCGAGTTGCGTGTTCACACAGTTCGTCGTCATCGGTTTGTATACAGTGCAGACAATACGATCAAGAATGGGGATGAGCAGAGGATCTGATGACCCACACAGTGAAGAAAAAAACGAAAATGATACACAATTTGATTACAGCAGCATTACACATATATAGATTGAAAAACAAATTTTCGACCTTCGAATCCCCCAGGCAGTATTCCAATTCAGCAAAGGAAGAAAAGAAGAAGAAATAAGAACCAATCCCCTTCTGATGGGGAAGGGGTGGGGGGCTAGAATTCTCCCTGTTTAACACTCCAGATATTCCCTTGAAGGAATGAAGGTCCAATAAATTTTTTTCCACCAAGAAAGAAGAGACAATATAAAAAAAAAGACAGCAAAAGATCCGACATTTCTTCAGAAAAATATACCAACCTCGATGGATGCATCCCCTCAATTGTTGAGGATCTGATCCACAGCCACCCTACATTTGCCTGCCGGTGAAATTGAAATGTTACATCCTCACCATCCAATTTGCCACCATTTACGAGCCCACCATCATTACAGGGAAAACCCAGGATCTGGGCTAAATTGAAAGCCGACGGAATCTACCCAGAAGCAGAAAGAATCGCCATTAATAATGAGGCTGACAAAATCAGGAAGAGAATTCAAACAACGGATAGAGAAGGTAAGCAAGAAGTTTACCCTTAATCAAAACCTCCGCCAGTCCATGAAGAATCTGCTTTGCCATTGTGGCCAGTGGCTTTGTTGTTATTTGCAGGAGGCTGGTAGAAGTTATCACCAAATCCGTCATCTTTCCCATCATCCCATCCAGCCCATCCATCACCATCACTGTTTGATCCAGTGGGTTTTTTGTTATCAACCTTCTTGGTCTCCTTCTGATCCCAATCATCCCATGAACTATGAGAAGTGCTATTGTTCCCACCTGAATTATAGTTGCCACTCGAATTGTAGCCTCCACTTGAATTGTAGGTGCCACTCGAATTGTAGTTTCCACTTGAGTTATAATTTCCGCCTGATGAAGACTGTCCTGCTGCAGCACCAGGGTTAGAATTCCATCCTCTATTGTCTTGCTTATTGAACTCTTGATAATAACCGTTACTCTCATTCTCATTCTTCCACCCGCCATCTTTGGCATATTCCTCCACCTTCTGTGTAGCCAGTGCCATGACACCTTTCATAATCCCCCATGTTCTTTGTCCAATCTCTGTTGTTTTTGCAGTCACAACATTGACAGTTTCGTTCACCTTGTATTCATAACCACCTTCCATGACCTGTTCACATGGTTCCGCATATTAACCATCACTTATGGCACTTGCAAGGAAAGAGTACCCAGAACAACAAAACCATCTAGACCGCCAATTTCATAGATAATATCCGTTCAACATATAAAAACATAATTCCAAGGATAATCCAGCATTGTTACAAACTCGAATCAATTCGACTAGGCACTCAATGCACATTACCATTGCAGACAACAAATCGAATCTAAACTCAGTAGAAGGAGCATGCGCAAAATGCAGATAGGCAGACATAAGAGGTCGGTATAACAGGAATTTCATTCAGGGGGCCAGAATACCTTAGAGCTGATTTCTTTGGTGCCTGCTTGGACAACAGTAGCAGCTGACTGGGCTGCTGAAGCTGCCACCAGAGACAACTTGCCGAATCCCTAATCAAACAGGAGTAGGTGATCAAATAGATGAACAATTAAACGGAATGATCTGATCAAGCAAGTTTATGAAGAGCGCAAAAATCACCATTTGAGCCTACCTGAGAGACAACAGACAATACGTCTGGTTGTGAATTATTCATCTGAGAAGGCGGAGGGCCCGATCCAAACCCTACATACTTGCCACCTTGAGAAGGCGGCAGACCTTCGGGCCTCGACTCATTCTCTGCCATTCTTCTGGCAAAGAAGGTTTCTTTATTAGCAGCAGAGGCCTCCAATTGCGATTTGGTATAAATATCCTCGGTCGATCTCGACCTCGGGCGACCACCGGCCATGGCGCCGCTACCATTAGCCCTGAAATCGCCGATGGATTGGTTCCTCCTCAGGTCATCGGAGGATCTAATCGCATCGTCATTATCCCAACTATCCCAGCCACCATTATCCTTGGGCGAGGATTGAGAAAGCGGCGGCTTTCTGCCGATCCCACCGCCGCCGCTTCCACCGCTGCCGCCGAGGGTTTCCTTGGTGGCGGGCGGGTCCCGCCAAGGCTTGCCCTCGGCCAACGCTTGGATTCTGTCGCGGTAAACGGCGGCGGCTTTGCTGTTGTACTTGGAGACGATATTGGTCTCTTTAGGGATTCCTCGGAGGGCTAGGAAAGAGTTGAGGTTCTCGTTGCCACCGGCCTCCATCTTCTTGATCTGAATGTCGGACCAGGAGTCCATGGTGACGGATCGGACGAAGGAGATGTGGACGCCGAGGCCGCGGTGCTTGCCGGAGCACTCAAGGCACATGAAAACGCCGTAGGAGACGGAGGCCCATTGCGGATTCTTCTGGGAGCAGTCTACGCAGATCTTGTTCGCGGGTTGCGATTGGAGATCCCGGAGGCGTCGAGCTGCCGCCATTGAATCCCGATCGGAACGTCCTTCTACGATCTGGGGAACAGAATCGAAATTATTGAAATCCAATTGACGATTTGTCAAAAGAAAAAAAAAATATAAAGGGGGGAAAAGGAAAAACGGATGGAATGAGGAACGAAGGGAAAGGAGGCCGATGAAATGTTTGAGCTTGGATTCGACGAGTCAAAAGGGATAAATAGTAAAGATTCAGACGAGAGGAATTAAAATTTTGCGGAAGGATTAACGAAAGAGAGAGAGAGAGAGAGAGAGAGAGAGGAGAAAGAGAGGCAGAGAGAAACGGAGGATCTTACCGACACCGCGGAAACGTTGGTGGTAGGGATGGTGGTGTTTCTGCAGTTTCGCGTTATATCTTTTTTGCTAATTTGTTGTGTGAGAGGGGGGCAAAAATGAACAAAAACGAAATATGGTATGTGATATTGAATTTAATGTTTCTTCTAATTTTAATTCTCCTCTTATCTTAAAAGTTCAAAATCTCGGTTGAACTACCTTAAAATTTTATAAAATCAATATTCCAAAAATTAATCTAGTATAATTTTTTTTTTTTTTTGCAGTCTTGATTTGAACAAAGATTACCGTGCTAACACTCAATTTGTTAGCATGATACTGACACTAACTCTAGCTAATAGAACATTTCGTTTTGTATAAATTTTTATTTTAAGGGATTGACCGCAATTAATATTGACTTTAAAGGGGGTGGTTTTTAAAATTTATAGGAGGCACATGCGTGTGATGCTACTATTTTATTCTGCGTACCACCCTCGGCACAATCATGAAGCATACCCCAAAACACAAACCATAAACACAATATACCACACTACAAATAACATAAAGTAGACCAGAAAACTTATAAAGCACACTAGAATATCACCACACCACAAAATTCATAAAGTATACAAGAAAACTCAAAGCAGACCACAAGTCCCCTGAACCTCATAAAACATACTACAAGTTTCCTGAAAAATACTACAAATCTTATAGGAGACCAAAAATTCCCTTAAGTATATTAGAAACTTTGAACGTATATGGATCGAATGAATTGAGCGTGGATCACTTTAATTACCCAACTCATATACCACAGTTTACACATCATAAAACCCAAATCCAAAAAAAAAAAAATCAGAACTCAACAATTTGGATCGGTCCGGATTGAAGTGTATGCCATTCGAAATCCAACCTAGTACAAGCGAAAATTCCAAACAAAGTTTCCTATCCCCTTAAGTGATATAAAGGGCTGGGTACACATAAAAAAAAGTGAGAGGCTAATAGCCTAATACAGAGAAGGGCTATTGATATTGGGCTATGTGTGTGGGTCTTGGAAAATGGAAAGAAGAAAAGATAATATATTTGGGCCCAAAAGCCCACCCAATTCAGTTACCCATTTCTGCATTTCCATTTTCTTTCAGCGTTCGTTAGCTTGATCAAGCTGAAGACAGACATATTTTTGCTATACACTGGGTTGATTTGTTTTTAGAACCCAAACCCGGAACCAAGCTAGAAAACCAACGAGTCTTTATTCTAGCACCCTCATCCACCTATTTATGTATTTAACTTGGTTTTGCTCGGGTTTCGGGTTGGTTTGGGCAGGGGTGACACGAGTGGGTGGGTTTACAGGTCACTATGTTAACCACTATTAGAAACTCTATAAATCATACCACAAGTTCCTTGAACCATACCAGAAATTTTATAAATCAGACCACAATTTTTCTAAAGTATACCAGAAACCTCATCAAGCAGACCACAAGTTTTCTCAAACAGACCAGAAATATGTGCAATCACACAATAACTCACATCAAACAAACCAAAAAGACAAAAAAGTACACCAAAAATTTCACGAAGCAAACCGAAAATGTTATAAGGATGACAAGATAAAGGTAATATAAAAATTATATTGGCGAGATAATCATTTTTATAATGGCAAAATATTGAGACTGTCGGGAAGAAGAGTCGAGTGTTCAAGTCTGATTACTTTGTAATAATTTTTTAAACAAGTAACCTGCTATTGTTTTCTTTTTTCTTTTTACAAAGAGCGAAGTGAAAGTAGGGTGGAGGGCGGGAGGCAGAGAGCAACGGAAGAAAGGGGTTGAGGAAGGAGCTAATAGCCTATTATGAGTAGCAGTTTTTGTTTTTTAAACTACTGTGAGTAGCAGTTAGTATAGTATAATTAATGAATTATTTGTACCAAACAAAATTAATGAGTTATGTTAGCATCCTATTAGCTCTCTCTGACTTGGGCTAATGAGAAAAATGAGAAATTTTAATAAAATAATATCATAATACTTGTACTTCCAATTCTATAATCTAGAAAAATATTAATCTATAGCTGGTTGTTTCTTCATGAAGTTCAAGTATAGTATAAGTTCATCTTGAACTTTTCTCACTGCATTCAAAATTTCTCGTGTTGTCTTCTCTAATTGCAACAAATAGTTTTGAAGAGTCGTTGTGGCTTCAAGCGATTACTTTTGCGTGACCGGTTTCGTAGATGTTGAATCATCATCTCCTTCATCATCATCTATTTTTTTTAGCACAATGAATAAGTAGAATCCAAAAATTTATCATATGAACTTGGAATATTTGGAAGATATGATAAATATTTATGGTTATTCAACATAATTATGTATGAATTTGGAAAATTAAGATATAACAATTGTAGACACCCCATTTTGTCCGTGTTAAAAGATATTTAATTAAACAAACTTTAGTTTCAATTTAAGATTTGCAATAGCAAATCTTGAATGATCTTCTAGCTAAGCATCATATCTGGTGCTTGGGTTGAGTCTTGTTGGCCACAAGTCAATGAGATTAAACAATAACAAATTTTGATTGATGCAATATGGTAGTGAAATATAGGCTTGAGTTTGAATTTGGTAGTCATGCGAGTTAATTGATTCTTAAGACCAGGGGCGGAGCCAGGATTTGATCATCGGGGGGGCCGAAATTTTTTAATACGTTATCAAAAGGTTAAAAAAATAACCGAACAAATTTTTTTTCATTAAATTCAATTTAAATCACAAAAAATATACAATTTAGATAATTCATTTCAATATAGAGTGAAACATTCTTTTTACGACAAAAAACGAATGTCTATCAATATTCTTCTTAAACACAAATTATTCATAATATATTCGAAGGTACCATTGAAATGGAATCATTTAATTGATCTAGTTTGAAATTAAGGAATTAATGAACAAGCTTAATAATTAAATTGATTTGTTCATTGAAATGAAAGCTTTAGGAAGCATAAAAAAGAAAAAATGGTGTTCCAAGCTGGCCTCAAAGTTGGATCGAACCAGGAACCACTTAGTGTAATGACATGCGCCTTTCCGCTGGGCTAAGCAGAAATTCATGTCCTTATTTTGCAACGCGATTATTAATATTTACTCTCTAGTTTATACGTATTATGCCGAACCATTAAACGTAACTTTCGAGATTCTCGGGGGGGCGCCTCAAGTAGATCCGCCCCTGCTTAAGACGTTGAGTCTTGTGGGAACGGGTCTTGATTTCTAAATAGGAAAAGTAACAATCTTATGAAGATGATACAATGCAAATAACTATAATCATGATTATAATATACAATATTTTCAATTAATTATATTTCTCAAGAGTTACAATTAATTACAATAGTAATTACCATTGTATTGTTATGCAATAAAAGAAAGTGAGCTCAAGTCCAAACTCAAACTCTGGTCAACTCGAGTCAAATCTCAAGCTCAAGTGAAGCCTAGTCAACAAGTCAAAACTCAGACCCAAATGAAACAGACAAGCCCAGCCAAACTCGGGCCAAACCCAATCTTAGTTGAACCAGACTGATCAAGCCAAACTAGTCGAACCACATAACCAGACTGGTCGAACCAGACCAAGCCCAACCCACTTAACTACCAATCAGAAAAATGCAACACAATCTATATATCTACTAGCCAATCAAAATGCACCACCAAATTGTCCAACACTGACCTCATCCACTATAAAACAGGAGCTTCTCTTCTTCTTCCCTAGGCTTTCGAACTGGCTACTTCTTCTATAACACCCGTACCTATTAGAAACCATTTTACAAAACGATCCTTGTCAAACTGTACACATTCTTGTTTAGCCTACAAACCAAACCATAATTTACATAAACTTTTAATACTTCAAAACACATGACAATAGAGAAGACCATCTTCTCTCAGAATACTATAAACAAGTCATGTCGGAGTTTGAGTCACCATCCCACCTCATTGATGCCAAGCTGAGCCTTATTGAGTTTCCTTGACTTCTAGTCCAACACTTCTAATCTGGGGAAGGGGTGAGACGTCACCTCAATGACAAACCCGATTATTGTACTCTACAATGCATCAAATTCAACAACAAATGTAGATATATTGAGACCATCTCCAATGAGAGTGCTAGAATACCAAAATTTGGGGACATCAAACAATGGTTTTTAGCTTTCTTCAGGATTTGATCTGAACTAATGGTATCCTAATTTCACTAAACAATCAGAGCACCACTCGCTCTTGCAACAGTTCACCCATTTAGGCCACAGGCTGCCAATGGTAGCCTTCTCGAAGAACTTGGCACTGTGATAAACACTAAGCCAACTCCATGACGAACCTCGAACTTGATATAGCCATAAGAAAATCCAACACCTTTATAATACTTTTCATTTGAGATATGAGCTTGTTTTAGTGAATTTTCTTCTATTCTATTGAATTATTGTCATACTTTTCGTCTTACGTGTAATGCGAGAATACATGTAAATATTAACATATTGGTTGGAGTTATAAGGAGAAACTATTACACATGGATAATCATAGATACCCGAAACTCGAATGGGTATGAAGACATGGTTTTAATTTTCTACATGTTTCTTATGTGGGTATGAGTATGGGTAAAACCCGAACTACTTTGGGTAGGGGAACATCCCAGACTCATTGCCATCCCAAAATAACCGGACACATTTGAGAAAGTTAGAGAAAATAATATCAATTACCCTTTTTTATATATTCAAATAGGTTTGACCCATTATATAGAAATCATCGTCCCCCGGAATCGTAACAAACTTTATACCATGAACAATTACCGAATCGGGAAAGGATCGGAGTGACCACGAGATGCCAATTGTAGTAAAGTCTAGGTGACAGTCATGTGATCGGAGGCGGAGGGTTTATAAATGCGGCCCCTATTTAATTGGCTGGCTGGCTGGCTGATGTTAAAAGGCAGCCACTAGCAGCCACTAGTTATGCTACTAATTATCCCTGTGAATGGAGGAATGTGATGTGAATTGATGATTTTGTCATACTCATTCATTTCATTGACAACGATGGCCTTAGCCTAATTAAGCTTATATGTGTTTAGTGTTCAATAATCAATACAGATCCAGCGACTAGCATACAACAGAAAATATTAATGCATGTACATACCTACTAACTTAAACAATTCATCATTTGAATGATGAACAAATTAAAGTCTACAATTTGGAACAGGGACGTTGATTTGTTTGTTGGTGTGAACTTAAAGCTTCTGCTGGTTTACTTAATGCACGTACTGTTTTAAAATTGGGCTTTTTAAAACATAACTAAGCGATTCCTCATCACGATTAAGCGTATGACTAGCTAGGCGATTGGGGCACACTTAAGTGCGACTAGTGGGTCAAGGGAATAATAAAGAAGGTAGTTAACTTCCCACAAGACGAACCCATTTCAAACTACTCTCCACGCGTACTTAGGTCGTTTTCTCGATTTGGATTTGCAAATCATGAATCTCGACTAGACACTTTGGACATGATCTCTGCCGACCGCTCTTTCTTGTCACTAACTATTAGTACCAAGTAGCCACGAGCTTTGCCATCGACATATTTCGATTCAACACTTTCTATAAAATTGAGATTTCATGAAATTGTGACAAAGTTTGCTTGTTGTTGAGAGTTGGTTAATTTTTATTAACCATTTGAAAATATGAAACTAGATTAGAACTATAATTTCTGTTAAAAATAGCTTTTTTTTTGCTTCTAATGCCTATGTACTAGCCAAACACACCCCAACACCTACCTTACACGCCTAGTACTTTATTTAACCTTAGATTATTTGAATAGATTTGTTGGAGCAATAAATTAAAAGGGCAAGCACCAATTTTAATAGAAAATCAAAATCAAATACAACACCAATCCCTGAAAATTGATAAAGCACAATTTTTCCAACGCACGCAGAATACAAATACAGCAGGGAAGTGAAAGCACCAAACATATCTAGGTTTTTTTGGGTTTCCAAGTTGTTCTTGCCCTCAATATCTCTGACCCGTCCTCAAGGCACAGCAAATGGTCCACCTCCACCGGAGCATTATCGGCGCCGCGGCCTCCGCCGTTGCCGTTCCCACTCCCGGCGGCGGCTGCAGCAGTACCAGTACCACTGTTATTTCGTCTGGAAAGAGAGTGCACAACGGTATCTATAGCAACCTCTTTTCTGAACTGAATGGTCATTGCGCGCAGTTCATGCCCCTCCGGAAGCGAGCGTGGGACGCTGTCCAGGATCCAATCCACGTACTTGACGTTGTTCACATGATGATTCACGTCCAAATCGAACCACCTCGACTGTACATATATCCCCCCACATGCACCCCAAAAAAAACAAACAAACAAAGTGTTGCAATAAACGGAGAATAATCCGTAGACGATTTTTAGCGGTATGAAATGATTGAACTATATACCGTCAGGCCACCGGTGACACGTTCAGCGGTCTCGAAATCCAGTCGCGACAATCGTTGTTCGTTTTTGGGGACTACAGACTCTTCCACCGGCACGATACAGCACGCGAGCTCGTCCCGCACTTCCTGCACGAACTTGTGCAACCTCCTCGTCTCATAGTTCATCATAACACATGTGCTGCAAACGTACAACGTACGAGCCAGGAAATGTTACAAGTTAATTTTTTGACGTAATAAATCAACCAATTAGTAAGTTACGTTAATGTATACATACTTGGTAGCTCGGACCAAAGTTTGACCGGTCTTGTCGTTGAGGATGACCCAATCATTAGCCAAACCATTCTTCCCGACGGTGTATGTCCAGGTGTCCACTTGCAGCACATCACGCCTGCAAAGACACAATAACGAAATCATCTCAAAATATTTACCTTTTACCGCGCGATGTAATAGTAAAAATTTGTTATATTAAAAATTACCATGCAGGATATTGATCCACCACCATTTGGATACAAGTGATGACCCAACCGAGGTTGTTTTTTGTCATAAACGGCGTCGAAGCGAATCTCCCCAGCTCTACCCCCGAACACCTTGTAGCATGGTTACATGCCGAATCCTGCAAATATAAGTCAAGAGTCAAGGCAACAAGGCCAGTAAATGGGTATATATATAAAAAATAAATTAAAATTATTTTACGACAATCAGTGCAGTTAAAAGCGTGAATCTATGCAGCCGCACAAAAACCATAATCTTATAAGTTTTTAAAGCGTGATTTTGCCTACATTTGTAAGTGAAAAGCGTGATTCCAGATAAAATTTGTTTTGGTAAACCAAAAGCGTAAAAAATTAAGTTTGTAACGTTGAAAAGCGTGAATTTAACTAGATTAATTATAATAAATAAACCTAGCTACGTGAGTAAGGCAAAAAAAAAAAATTATTATTGATTATAAAATAATTAGCATTATAACAATAACGAATTAGTCATCACAAACCTGTATCTGTCTCATCAGTGCAGCAATGGTTGCTTTCTTGTGCCTATCAATGTCAAACGATCTAACCATCACGCGCTGCCTGTGAACCCGACCCTGTCGGACCCGACATCCATGAACCGATTCGGCCGCCAGCTGATGGATCTCTTCTTCTTCTTCTTCTTCTTCGTCAGGATTTGCTACGGCGATTTCGAGATCGTCGTCCTCAGCTGCTGCCGCCAGCAGCAAGTGATGATGACCATCAAACTTGTTGGCATTCGCAGCTCGTAGTGGTACTGCTGCTGTTTGCTCTTTATTATCCCACAAGCTACACCGACGAGGACGACGGTTAAACCTCAATGAGCGGTTGCTTACCCAAGGAACACGAACCCTTTGCTTAGAAATGGCGGCGGCGGAGGCGGATACTGCAGTTTGGGCTGCCTGAAAGGATCGGGTCGACATATTGTTGCGTTGTTGTGCGATGTCGTTGCTAATTTGGTGCTTCAATCTCGATTTTTATGGTTGGAATCAGTGTTTTATATCAATCCTGTCCCACTTTTTAATTATGGGCTGGCCGGCTGCTGATGGTTAAAGATAGCCACCACCCACTAGCAAGCAGCCACTTGTTTATGGCTTTATGCTACTAATAATTATCCCTGTGAATAGGGAACTTTAGGGCAGGGTATATATTATTATTTATTATATAAGGCAACTGGGCCGAGGAAGGACTGTGATGTGAATTTATGATTTGGGCCAGGCCGTATCATTCATTCATGGACCACGATGGCCTTGGGCTAAGCTATCAGAGTTAGCTGGTACATGTGTTTGGGGAGTAATTAAGCACGCTACTTTGGTTGGTGAGCGGCAGTGGCTCGATCACCCGAAGGAAGGACTAGTCTTAAACCAACCCCAGCGGTATATGGACGTTCGACATGCAAAAACAACACGTACGGATCCAGATTACTCCACGTCAACTGTGCAACTTCGCAAGGCACGTACGAAATGGTGGGTAGTTGTCAGAGGCCTTATTCTTGATCGTGCGAGTTTAGTTCTCAATTTCGTTGGAGAACTAAGCAGTGTTTTCTCAAACTCACGCGCTAGTAAAGAAAGACGAAGAAAGATAAGAGAAGTGGGAGAGGTCTTTATAGTGTGTATTACTAACAAAAATGTGGAATGAGTTACAAGCAGCGGCGGATCTAGGGGGGCCGCCCCTGGGCCACGGCCCAACCCTCCCTCGATCCGGAGCTAGTATAACACTTGTAAATTTTCGATTTTTGGTGTTCCTTTCAGTGTTCGTCGTGTTACGGCCCAACCTTCTCTGCTTTTTTCCAATGTGGTCCAGTGCTCTACTGAATCCTGGATCCGCCGCTGGTTACAAGTGAGAGAGATGGCTCTTTATGTAGGCCTCTACTCGTACAAGGCATCAATGTCCCTGATAATGGTCGCTCCCCATTATTATACCCATTAAGTTCTCCCCCATAGTGCACTCCTCACAATGCCGCTCATAATGTGACTCATAAGTGCACACAATAAAGCTCATTAAGGTAGAGAATCGTAGAGGCATCTCTATTCTTCTAGTCTTTCATACACGCCACATGTGGAGAGCACCATGTTGGTGACATGTCATCTCACACATGTAACAAAAATCCCCTACCTATGCTCGTGACACCCTCGTCGCGTCCTCTTGATGGAAAGTCTCGATCAAGTCTTTTTTCTTCCAAAGCGTGAGCTCATTCTCCCAATACTAGCCTCGCTCTCCACAAGGTTGCGCCACATGACCAAGTACTCCACATAACTTGGATGAACGCCACTACGAGGAACGGCACAAAGGTCCATGAGCTCTTCAACTTCATGGTCATGTGTCTTGGTGGCGAGTATTGGTGCGCGATGTGATTCCATCCGCTCCTCCTCCTCCTTGTCTTCGTTTGATTTGGCTCACATGAAAGACACGAGGGATCTTCAAATGCGACGGCAACCCCACCTTGTACGCCACCTTGCCAAGCCTCTTCACAATGGGGAATGGCTCTTCATAACGATGAAGCAGTCCCTTGTGATTCGGGGCTAATTACACATATTTCACCCCTCATTTCTTGATAGTTTGACTTTGAAGATTATCGTCATTCGACCTATTTTACACTAGGGTGTGCTGTTTTTGTTAGATTTCAGGTCCTACCACGTGTGAAAATCTATATAAATCTATTGGTCCATAAAATAGGGTTTTTTCAAACATTTGGTTTGGGTTAATACTTTAATATAGGGTTAATTGCAAGGATGGTCACTGGTTTTACTAAAACCGTTCATGTTTGGTCACTGCAAATATTTAATTCCATTCATGGTCACTAAGATTAGTTCAATAGTTCAAGTTTGGTCACTCTCCGTTAGTCTCCGTTAGTTTTTGCTGATGTGGCAGTCAACTATTATAGTTGACCGTTAAATGAATGACGTGGCCATTAAAAAAATAATAAAATCATAAAATATAAATATTTACAATTTCCACCTCATTTTACAACTATTAAAAAATAAAAATAAAAATTACCTTCACAGCGCCGCCGCTTCCCGCCGGCCGAACGAGAATGTCCGCAACCAAATCACCGCCATGGACCCCGGCCCAACCACGAGCTCGAGGACCTGGAATTCGCGCCTCGCCGTGCAAAATTATCACGGCGCCTCTTCCTTTCAATCTCCTCCCCCTCGAAGAGCTTAATTAACCTTAATTATTCCTCAACAATCCCCCCAAATTAAGATTAACAGAGGAAAGACATGTCATTGAGAAGTTCGTGGGAGAGGGGGGAAATCAAAACCCGCGATTTCCCGGGGACATCAGCCTTTGCCAGTCTCCCGCCGGCGTGTTGTTCAACGGTCAGGGAGGTGAAATTGGGGGACATTCGTCGGCGTCCGTTCGGTGGGTTGGGAGATGGTGGATCTGTAGTCACCACCTCCTCTCGCCGACATGCCATTCAGTGGGTTCAGGGAGATGAGAGAGAGGGTAAATCGGGCGTCGTTTGTCGGCTTCCAGGTTCTCTGTCGCCATCGTCTCCCGCCGGCGTCCGTTCAGTGGTTTCGGAGAGGGAAGAGCAATCGAGAGGCCGGGCAAGAACCAGTATACTACTTAAAAGAAAGAAAGAAACCATATTCACAGTTTTTCCTACCCGGTGAATTAAAAGAAAGAAAGAAACCATATTCACAGTCTTTCCTCTGTTAATCTTAATTTGGGGGGATTGTTGAGGAATAATTAAGGTTAATTAAGCTCTTCGTAAACCTTAGACAAAACACCGCCTTCTTCCCCATCTCCGCATCCGAGGAATCGCCTCCGTTGAACCACAGAGCTTCCGCTGTACGAACTCCCCAATAACGCCGAGCTGAAATCCCCCCGGAAATCAATCACACTCGACGGCGCCGAGACTCTTCTTGAGCACCGAATTTGATTGTGCTTAGCTGGGGCGAAGATATAGGAACCCTAGGAGGTGCGAATCGAGGGGGAGGAGATTGAAAGGAAGAGGCGCCGTAATAATTTTGCACGGCGAGGCGCGAATTCCAGGTCCTCGAGCTCGTGGTTGGGCCGGGGTCCATGGCGGTGATTTGGTTGCGGACATTCTCGTTCGGCCGGCGGGAAGCGGCGGCGCTGTGAAGGTAATTTTTATTTTTATTTTTTAATAGTTGTAAAATGAGGTGGAAATTGTAAATATTTATATTTTATTATTTTATTATTTTTTTAATGGCCACGTCACTCATTTAACGGTCAACTATAATAGTTGACTGCCACATCAGCAAAAACTAACGGAGACTAACGGAGAGTGACCAAACTTGAACTATTGAACTAATCTTAGTGACCATGAATGGAATTAAATATTTTCAGTGACCAAACATGAACGGTTTTAGTAAACCCAGTGACCATCCTTGCAATTAACCCCTTTAATATAACTCATATTTCATAAAGAGTAAATGAGGTCCCATACCGTACCGTCCATAATTCCCAAAGCTAGCTGCATAGTGCCTGCAGTACTCAGAATGCCGCTCTGTTGTCTATTCATTCTTTCCAAGGTGAGTACTCCACATGCCATCATTTAATTACAATTATGGCCAACCCACAATTCCACATGCATGGTAAAATTCAACTTCTCTACCTCCTGTCTACACTACACATCCATGTGCAATTGTGCATTGACGAATATTGGTTGCAAAATTAATTGATTTGAAGTCGATGCAAATACACAAAACCCTACGCATACCTGCTCTCCTCTGCAAAACCCGTCTTTTGTTATACTTATCTTAGTAATGCATTCAAACAATGCATTTATGATGCATTGGAATACACATGTAACTCAATGGAGGGACATTGGAATACACATGTAATCTATGATTTCCCTGAGGAGTTTAGGTGGAATGGCGATGGTGCATACGACACGTTAAGAGTAATTATAGTCAAATTTTTGGGCATGTATCACAACAATGATTTGTTTGGAAGGCCTGTAAGTATAATTTAGGTTTTCTTCTTTCTTTTATTTGGTAGTGGGGTTTTTTTTTAATAACTCTTACGTTATTTTTTCAGTTATTGTTTACCAACCTCGAAAGTATGACGAAACAATGAAGAATATAAGAAGGTCTGTTCTAAATGAGCAGATTGGCTAGAAAGTCATGATTTTGAGAAGCGGGCATTACATCATGATTTTGCAATGATGAACATGAATGAGATGCTTAATGGTTTATATGTTGACATCCATGCAATGCCAAATTGCCAATATCAGTTTCTCATATTGCATACCTTCTTCAGGTTGGTTGAACGGTTCGTAAAACGACATCAAAAGGCTATCAAAATGCTTGACAAATGGATACGTCATCCAAAAAAATCACCAAAGACATGGAGCCATGGAAGAAAATTCTAACTTGCATAAGGTGACTTTGTTCAACCGACGATATGTCATTTTTTCAATAGGGACGAGGAGGCCCTCTGTCACCAAGAAACGAGGTCATGCTCAAAAAGTCACATTTGTACTCCGTGTGGAAGAGGGAATGCAGTTGCATGAAGTTTCAAGGAAGACACTTGCCTTCCTCTCATTCATATGTCGCTGTCAGAAGAGTGTAATGGACCCATTTTGATTTGTTAGTCCATACTACAAGACTCATTTAGTCGTCAAGGTTTAGGGATCACACATTCATGTCTTTGGCTCATGAAGTTTATTGGAATGAGTACCTTGGAGCATAAAACTGATATGGGTAGATAAGGGAGACCACAACAAGTTTCAAAGTAGTGCTTTGCATGTCGAGTTGAAGGGCATGAGAAGTGCAACTACCTAGGAATGGGAGATGACTTTTAATGTTTATGTTGTAATGAATATGTAGGTATTTTACTTTGTTTTAATGAATTTTGTTATGCATAAAAATTTATTTTCTTCTCTCCAATAGTAGTAAGTGTTCGGTTTTTGTTTTTTTTTTTGTTTATGAAATGATCGTGGTTGATTATAGAGATCGAAAAAATCAACCAACTAGTTCACTGCCACGCCAAAATCTAGTAGTTTGAGAAATTTTAGTGCATATGTTGAAATTTTGTTTAGAGAAGACATATTTTGGGAAAACATCGAAAAAAATAGCACCTACCTATTAATTGGTGAGAACCCCACGTCAAAGCACTTCATGGTCTCCTACATCCAAAAGCATAATACAAAGCTACAAGTTTTCTCTCCACACCCTTGAAACCCCTCTTTGCCTTTGGACGTCTTATAAGTACTAGTGTGGACCCCGGCCAGTTGGCCGGAAGAATGTGAGGTATGAAATTTGATAACATAATGGGGTGTATAGCTTATTGTTGTATAGTTTTTTTTGGAAAATTCGTGATAAAAATAGTGAATTTTAGCAGGAAAGAGACATGAATGATGCAATGAATCAAAAATCGGCCTTATGAACCAAAACCAAGTACATGTTACCTTGTGAAACAATATTGTTTCTGGTAATATGATGAGGTGGAGTAAGTTTTATAGAAACCGAATTCCAGAAAATCGAATAAAAAATCGCCTATCCCGTCGGTTTTCGGGAAATGAGCATCTCACAATCGTTGCTGCTAGCTTTTACTCGGCCCGTTGGTCGATTAATTTGTTTTATAAACCTTCCATCTTGTCGTCATTGTGCTTTCTGGTTTTTGTTAGGCCATGATAAAATCTAAGGAAATCAAGAACGAATAACACAATTTGGGATAGGAACCGTCGTTGTCGTATCCTAGAAAATGGTGGTAAACACAGACTCACCTGCCAAACTGGTTTGGATTGAGATTTTTATCGGGTATCAAGGAACCATGTGATTATAAATTAGACTTGATCAAAACGGGCCAAAACTTGAAATTCAGCATGTTTGACCGACCCATGCCAAATTCTATTTATTCTTTACTTTTAAACTTTCTATTTGAAAATAAAAAATAGTGAAAGAAAAGAGATGACTACAATTCGCCATTTGCACATCACTTATTCGAGAATAAAACCATAAAAATCCAAAAGAAACTGAAAATGTTTAGGATCATTTTAATGTTTAAAATAACCAAATAGATCGTTCTGTTTAGTTTTTTACTAACAAATACCAAACGATTCCCTATAAAACACAATATAATTTGATCATTATGATATCAAATAATTATATAATATATATTTGAAATTAGGGATGACAATTTCGACCTGACCCGATTTACCCGACCTGTTTTGGAGCAGGTCAAACCCGCTCCGTAGGCAGGGCGGGTCGGACATGGGTACCTCTCATCGACCCGACCTGCCCTAACCCGCCCCATTCTCGACCCGTTCTTGCCTATATTACATATACTCTTAGTCAAATTACTTAGGATTTTCCTCTTATTACATTATATTTTAGCTATAATAAAGTTGTAAATAAGTGAAAACCTCAATTTCTTCAATAATTTAACTACATTTTATCATATTATGGTTTCTTTCTTGGTCTTTTAATGAAAATAACGAATGTTTCTAATGTTTTCGCATAATTACATACCCAACGGGTCGACCTGCCCCTACCCGCGCCCCGTGATAAATTACCCGACCTGGACCTGACCTGCCATGGGGCGGGTATGGGTATCGAGATACCCGCCCTGGACCTGCCCAATTGCCATTCCTATTTGAAATGATAAAAATTGGACTAATTGGGTTGGTCGAGGTTGAACCATTGAATAACATTAAAATACATCATATTTTAGCTACTAAGATATAAAATAATAGCATAATATATATTATGCCAGAGAAAATGGCTTGTTTTAGAATGACAAACCAATGATGTTCATTTGTTTTACTTGATGGCCAAATCCCGTGTAGGTCAGACCTATTCAACTCTTTTATTTTATGGTTAGCGGTTAGCCCATTAGATACCATGCATTAGTTTATTGTTAAATTTTTTATTTTTACCAATAAAAATGAGTATTGTTTTTGTCTTTTCATATATATTTTATCACCAGGGAGAAATAAAAGGGCTTAAGGAAAAAAATTGACACTCCTGGACCCGTTTAAATCCGCATGTGTACGGTAAGTTGGCCCGTTCCACAGAGGAAAGAGAAAAAAATTGACACTCCCTATTCTACCATTCCTACAAACGTTCCTGGAGCAGGAAATTTGAAATGGGGGAAGGGTTTTTTCCTCCCTGCTATTATATGTTTTTAATTTAAAAAGATACAACAAATGTACTTAGTGTGATTGGTTATGATCTTTGCTTTTCTTTAAAATGGTCATGGTTCGAATCCTAATACATGTCTTTTTACTGAATAAAAAAAAGTAATTGTGAAGACCAAAACGTCCTTCCTACTTTCACTCTCGTTGCAGGAAATTTGAAATGGGGCTCCCGTTTTTCACTTCGGTGTATTATATTATGTGTAGATGTGTAGATAACCCACCTCAAGTACGTAGCCTCCCAAGAGATCGATTACTATAACCGGATCCAAACATACTGAACCACAAAAATTGGGCCCAAATGTTACTTGGACCACACTCCAACATGTCCAAAACATCACAACATCGTTGATACATGAAATATTTGCGTGTACCAATCCAAAGAAACGGATCTTTTTTTTGTGAGAGTTGGACCCAAAAAACCAGGTTTCATGGCTGGGTAACCAGGTTTCACTCGTCTCTTATTGGTTGACGCATTACATAGATTTGACTGATCTTTTTCTAGTTTAGTAATTTTCATGACTCGAGAGATTTCTGAGTCTTGTTTGAACATTTTATACAAGTTAGTGTCCTTTTTCGCGGTGGAAAAAAAAATCATCGTTGAGCAAATCGAAACAGGTTTAGCTTTATCGAGGCAATCATGATGTGGACTGAAACTCACAGCACAGGAACTGAGTAATGGGAGTACCGAAGAGGGGCAAGTGGGGAATGGGGAACATTAATGGTCATGAGGTGCTTGTTTCTAGCAATTGGTACTGAGTACTGGCCAGAAGGTATGGGAGAGAAGCAAAACTAGCTTTTAATGAAGACAACTAGTTCATTGAAGTTGAAAGTGGTGGGAGGCTACAGCTAGCTTAGCCAGAAATGGCTGCCATCAAGAAAAGTAAGATTGTATTGGTGTCCTATTAACATCAAATTTAATTTAGGGACCGTTGTTGTCAAAATTGGCCACTGGAAATTAGCTGTGGAACAGGATTTGATTGAAGGAAGTCCTCCCAACTTGATTTTGGGTCTCTTCTGGAGGATGGTGATATAAGTAACACCTATGGAAGGGTTAAAGAAAGTTGCGATTTGTGTACTGCTGCTTTAATGGGAGGTAAAGCAGGTTGCGATTTGGAAGGGTTTGTATAATTCGACTTACGATTGAGGTATGTTTCGGAAAAAAAATCACACCTGGTGGGACTCGAACCCACAATCGTTTGATTAGAAGTCAAACGCCTTATCCATTAGGCCACAGGTGCAATTGATATTAATTTTTTTTTATCAAAATGGTTCATTTTAAAATAGCGTGGAAGATGGGTAAATAAATATAAATCAATGATTACTTAATAACAATGATGAACATACTAGCATTGCAATCAACACCGACGACAAACCTACTGGAAAAAAAAAATTACCGCGACAAAAGTCATGACGTCAATGAGCAGAGATAGATGGTAACCTATTATGATCCATATCCGCTTTGCATTAAGCAGCAACGCACGGATCATATTGGTTAGTACTCACGGTTTGATACGAGGTTCTACTCATTCTCACGCGTAGACCCTAACAAAACATAGGTCGGCTAATATCCACCGCCCTAACCATAGGTCAAATGGAGTAATGCAGGACGGGAGTAGTTCCCTAACAGACATACGACCCATACCTGTATTGTATATATGTACATACTTACTTCCTTCCTACCCCCATTCCTTTCCCTATTCCTATTCTTTGGCGGAGTCCGAGTAATTAAATTAAACCCTCCCACCACCAGTACTCTGAATACCTACAATTTGGCTTGTCATAAATAAATTAAAGCCCCTTCCTTCCTTCCTTCCTTCCTTCCTTCCTTCCTTCATTCATCTCCCTCTCCCAGTCTCCCTCTGCCTCTGCGTGTATATATACACATATACACCCACGCAAACATAGGCCTTGTTATTCTTACTTAGTTATTGGTCACTTAACTTTCGCCTTCCTTTGCTAATATTTATATACTCTTCCGTCCATCTGCCGTCCACCGTCTCCTCTTCGCGTCGTCATCATGGTGAGCATAATTTCGCTGGTGACGGGGAGGGCCGGACCGAGCGGGTTCGGTTCGGCTTCCACCGCCGAGCTCGTCACCGAAGGAATCGACGCCTCCCATCTCACCGTCCTCATCACCGGTATGTAAAATTAGCTAGCAGCCCCCCCACATTTGTGCTCTGTTGTTCTCTTCTCCCCCGCCGCTGCTTCGTTTGTGTGTTTTCTTGGTGAACTGAAAAATTGGATTTGAGGGAGGTCGGTCGATTTTGGCTATGTTTTTGGGTAAAAGCCCCGCTAATTGACTTCAATGGCCGGCCGGCCGGGTGGCTGGCTGGCTGGCTGGCTGAGTTGGTTTCTCTGCAACCCCATCCCTTTTCTTTTGGCACCAGTGGTTTTTCCCCGCAGCATCCCTTTTTGGGCTTTTGTTTGTGCTTCTTTTTGGGCCTGATTAGCCTCCTTCCTTGCGATCCTTTTTTCAGTTTTTCGCCATGTAGATCCCACCTCGTCCCACAAATTCTATTAGCCCAACCTCAATCCTCTTACACTTTCTTTGCCTTTTTTCTAGGCTGAATAATACCAAGGAAAATGTCTCATGTTTCATTGTGGGAAATCTCCACATAAATTCACCAATAGTCATGCATCCACATGGTATCGAATCGTACCCAATCGATTACTTGGATTGAATGGAAAATATTTTGATTTGGTTTTTATTTATAAATTATTTTCAGTATAACGAAAGAAAATGAACTAAAATTTTATTTGGATAGTAATGAATGGAAGCGGAACCAAACATTCTTTTTGGTCCGGTTCTAATCGGCATTTTTCCTTTACTTTTGGGTTGGTCCTATCTTGATCCCGATTGAATTGACCAATGTTCACCCCTTTTCCATGCAATGTAGAAAAACAAATAAAAGAATTTACTGATTGACGAACGATATTAACAAAAGTGCGTGAAAAAAAAAAATCAGTTTAAGTGCACAATTGGGAAGTGCTAGCGTAGAAAAAATCAGTTAAGTGCACGAATACAAAGGCAATGTTGCCGAATAATAAATCCTACTGCTTTACAGATGGTGGGGAAAAAAAAATTTCCATGGATAGTGACGTGTCGTGAAGGAGAGGAAGAAAAAGAAAAAGAATTCCCTGGATACTTAGGTTGACTAACATCGTAGTGTGAATAGAGGACCTCAATTTTTTTGCTCAGATGGGAAAGCTGATTATTGTCTGGTTTCCAATTCCCATTTCAGGTGGTGCAAGCGGGATCGGACTGGAGACGGCAAGAGTGATGGCACAACACAAAGCCCACGTCATCATCGGCGCCAGGAACATGGAAGCTGCAAGCAAGGCCAAACACCTCATCCTCAAGCACACCCCAGGCGCCCGCGTCGACGTCCTGCAGCTGGACCTGGCTTCTACCAGATCCGTCAGAGCTTTTGCCGACAGCTTCAAGGCCCTCAATCTGCCCCTCAACGTCTTAATGTAGTAAATCAATACCCCGATTTTTTTTACTTTCAAGTTTCCGGGTTTTGGTTACTAATTCTGTCATTCTGTGTGGGAACAGAAACAATGCAGGAGTGATGTTCTGCCCTTACCAGCAGTCCGAAGACGGGATCGAGATGCAGTTCGCTACCAATCATCTGGGTACTGGGTACTTCTACTTTACTCTGTTAGTAAACGGTATATGATCCACGATTGAACATCTCCCAAAAACTCGAGTTATTGGGATCAACTGGTTCTTGACATACTCTCCTTATTGGTTTGGTCTTCGATTTTAGCAATCTGTGTGTTTTCAATTTTTGATTGATTGACAAAATGGGTTCCTGCAGGCCATTTCCTGCTGACGAACCTGCTGGTGGACAAAATGAAGGAGACAGCTCGAGCTACAGGTGTGGAAGGCAGGATCGTGAACCTGTCCTCCATTGCCCACATCCACACTTACCGACACGCCATCCTCTTTGACGATATCAACGACAAGAAACGGTGCTGCTTCAATTTTCCCCCCCTTTCTTCCTCGATCACCACTACTTAGTTCATTAATGTTCATCCAACAACAACTCAATCGGTGGTCGGTTCAAACATTTTGTCTCTAACCAGTTAAATTAACTTTTTTGTGGGTTGTGGGTAAACAGTTATTCTGACAAAAGGGCGTATGGGCAGTCCAAGCTGGCCAACATCCTGCACGCCAAAGAGCTCTCCCGACGCTTCCAGGTTGGTTAAATTCAGAACTACTGGGTTTCTTCTCTTGCTCTCAGAATTAGGCTCAGGAATCTCGATCTTTTAACTATTCAGGAGGAAGGGGTGAACATTACAGCAAACGCGGTGCATCCAGGGTTAATCATGACTCCTCTTTTCAGATACTCTGCCATTTCCATGAGTAAGCAAACTAGACATAATAATGATAAACCCACTAAGAATGTTTACAGAAACAAACAAAATGCTGAATCCTGGGTTGGTTGGGGCTTGTAATCTGCAGGGATTTTGAAGTTCTTTTCCAGCTTTCTATGGAAGAACGTGCCTCAGGTAATTACACATTCCTTAACTCAAATGGATCATGAAAGGCGAGTAAGTAGAAGATGAAAACACAGCAACCATTTTCATCTGTGTTCTGAATTTCCCCTGTTTTTTTTTTCTAGGGAGCTGCGACGACGTGCTACGTGGCGCTGCACCCAGCGATGAAAGGGGTGACGGGGAAATACTTTGCTGACTGCAACGAGATTCAACCAAGCTCCCACGCCAGGGACGAAATGCTGGCCAGGAAGCTCTGGGATTTCAGCAACAAGCTCGTCAACTCTGCTGCCTCTTCCAAAGCTTAATCAAACACAACAAAATTCATATAATCTACATTGCCCTTCTTTTTTCCCCCTTCCCCTTTATTGAACGAAATATATATATATGGTTATCAACTTATATCAATCTAAATCATGAGTCTGGCCAATTTGGATGCGCGGTGCACAGAGTTGAATTTCAGTGAATGTTTGATTGTTAGTTTGCTAGTTTTCCTTGCCATTATGTCTCAGTGACACGTACATCGTCTCAGCCAATCCCCGCGTGACACGGCATTGAGATGGAAAGGGACGATCGCAACCTCCAGAACAAATACGTACAGCTTTCTTCAATTCCCTATATGTCACAACGTCGCTATCCTCTGCTTTCATTCTGCAATAATAATTCCTTCCCAACCGTTGTTTTGAATGCCGCCATTTAAAGAGAGTCCTTCATTTCTGGAAGGATCTCAGACCAACCACAGCAGCAAGCACCACTTTTTTTTTTTCCCCTCTGTTTCAACTAACCCTCGGGGAGGCCAACGAGTACCCAAGCTAATCTTGGCACAGCCATAACTCTACTGTGAAGCTGAGCTTGTAAAAACTGATTGTGAAGTTTTTTTCTAGAGTCTGGGGATACTTGGAACCCTAGCTAGGGTTGTTGTTTGAAGAAAAGGGGAAGGAGAAGTCAGACTTGTTTGTTTAGAGAGTAAATAGAAACATATTGCGATTAGTACGTGACAAATGCGTTCAAGAGTTGTGCTACATTCACAATTGAGCAAGTTTTACTTGTGCAATAACTTAATTGATGACAAATCAATCTAAAAAAAAATGACAAATCAATCTAAAAAAGAATGACCTTCAAGATAATTTTATAGACATTTGTTTATGCCAATATCCTCCTTCACTCCTTCGTGCACCTCCTCGTGCCTCTCCCGGCTCATGAGGCGCCTAATCCCTGCACACGAAGCGGACAACAAACCTAAGTAGTCCGTTAGGTCTCCAACGGTCAAGTTAGTGCCCAAATTTCGAGAGAAGTAACGATAAGTTTTAGTGAGAGAGTTGCGCACTGAGTAAATGAGGTTTACCTATTTCCCGATTTATACTGGGAGTCTCACCGACCAATACCCCCTAAATCCGCCCTATGTTAGCAAGACAATAAATGCACCGTACATTTCCTTTACCATGCGCCCAGACCATCTGACACCATCCTAAGAAATTTTAGGCACATGGCCTCACATTTTCAGCTTTCCTTACGCTTCTACCAATTGTGTGTCTTTTGTCTTCATGCGTCCCTTGTCAGGACCTTGACCCTACACGTCCAGGCTGTCAAGTACCCCATTGGATCGGACTTTAACCTTGCTTGGGCTATAACTTTGGTTGTTGGCCTCTTGCCCATTTTTTTGGGTTTTCTTCTTTGGGCCTTTATCACATTCCCAACAATTGCTCCCTAATGTTTCTTATTAGGGGTCTAACTATGCCCTAACACTTGCTCGTGCTTCGATATTTGTCTATGCACCACTTTACGGTTCTTTGGTGCCCCATTTCTTGCATCCCTAGCCTTTTTGTTTTAGAGAGTGGTGATGGGCCTTTATCACTATTGAAAATTATGAAATTCACTATTATAGTTTATAAACAACCAACATCTCAAGTAGTAATGGTTATATATAAATTATTGAAACAAGGGGTTCTAAATTTTAATTTATTTCTTAATACCAAACAAAGTCATCACTATTTTTCATTGTCATATTCAATTTAAAAAAAAATAATGAACGATTATTATAATAATTAGCAATGTGTTAGTATTAAGTCAACGTTGTAACTCGTTCGCAACACACAATAATCAAGACAGTAAAATACTAAAATGTAATAATACAACTCGAAAAATCACGTCAGCTCGACTTTTCATATAGTCGTCTTCGTTCGACGCGACGATGAACGGTCAACCCCACGCGACGGCCAAATCTTAAGCCGGACGCATCTTCGAAAGGATGAGACGGGGTGCATACCAGCGCACATCTCTATGTTATCAGCTCCGACACTACACTGGCTCGTCGTCTTCCCACAAGGCAATGGACCGAACCACCCAAGCCGCCCCGGCCACCACGACGGCGGCGAAGACCGGCGGGACCACGAAGTCAATGTTTGACTTGGCAAACATCTGAGCCGGCAAGCAGAACACCTCTCCGGGAACGTCCAACGGAACCCTAACCATTCCTTCCCTTCTACACTCTCCGCCTGAACCAGGGGATTGCACGGCCGTAATGGTCGACACGAAGGCGAACTCCGGCGAGAAAGACGCCACGGCTACCAGCACGGTCAGTAGGGCAGTCCACCTGGCGGCGTAGATGAGCATTGGTAGCTTTGGCACCAGCCGCCGGCGAAGGGCGGCGAACAGAGCGAGCGACGTGCGGATCATGTTCAGAATCTAGCGGCTTCTTCTGTGATATAATGGTTCTGGACTTCTGGGAGAGAGACGACTGAGTGATAGACAAAAAAGTTGTATATATGGCGATAATTGGTAATGGTAGGAAGGAGGGACACCTAACCTCAACTACTTCCCAACTCATATTTGGAATTTTTCTGTAGTGGGTTGGGAGTTCAGCAGATATTCAACGGGCAGAGGAGAACCACTCTGCAATACGGATTGGTTCGAGTTGACCATATCCATCGACTATGAAAGTTGAAATGGCTAAAATGGGGGATCAATGCCAAATGCGATACATATCTACAAGTTGGAGGGACCAAATAGATACTCAAACCACCTGAGGGCTGAGGTGTAGACGTGGAACAAGTGTTATGATAAAAATATTACAGCAAGCTACATGTAACAACAACAGATGAGGAATTTTGAGATGAACAACAATCCATCTTTGGTGTAACATCTAGGATAACTGACCAACTTCTCGGTCAAGAAGCGCGAGGATTGGAGAAAGTTTTCTCTACCTGGAGAGACAGAAACAGGAAACAAGCCACTGCTACGAGTAGCGCGACCAGCATGATCAGGAGCATGGCCTGCAGAGAGATGTACGGGCTAAGAAAGAAGACGACCGCAATCGAAGCGCTCTGCCACAGCTTTAGTTGAGAAAATGCTCCTTCCTGGGAAAAAGATTTCAAGGTTTCAGGTCACAAAATGATCGGAGATGAAAAGAGGAGATTAAGCACATGGAAGGGATTTCTTGAAGTAAGGCTTCACACCATATCTTGCTTGAAAATTATGCCTAGCAAAGCATTCAGCTGAGTGTTCAGCACTCCATCACCAATTCCCAGCATAGCTGCCATTAGGAGCGGGTACAGCACGCCGAGTACACCGCTGGTCAAACTGCCAAAGCACAAGGTTGGAAAATTTTAGTAGATTCTATAAACCTGCATAACTGTCCTGCGAGGGGGGACAATGGCAAACCTATAACCCAGCAAAATCCAGAGGAAGACAAGAGCTTGAAGAATAGATCCAAAGGATACTATCCATGTTATTGATGCAAGACCCGATGTAAGCCGACCAGCAGTCAGTGCACACTGCCATAAGACAAAAGGATGTCAATATCAAAGCTTCAAATAAGAAGGAACAGATCTTGCCAAGAGAACTTTCAAATTTCAATGAACTTGCCACGAGATAATTATTAGACGCCCATTGCAACTGTACTTACAATGGTATCAAAGGCGCCATAAACTGCCATAGCACCTCCAACCCCAGACACACCGATAGCTGGTTTCACAATTTCTTTTGTAAATTCAGCCCTGAGATAGAGAGACAAACATAATTGAGACATGTGAGTTGAAACAAAAAGAGAAACTGATCTCGGTTTCCAACATTAAACTGAAAATGTTGGACTCACATACCATACGAATGCCTGCTGTAATCCTGAATATGCTATCAAAGGGATGATTAACCACATCCGTATATCAAGCAAAGGGGTGATGATACCCTTTGTCAACGATACAAAAGAAGAACAAAACCCGTTGGGGGATTCTGCTGCTGCTTCTCCTCTTTTGCCATCCCTTTTGCTAATGAAGCACATTAGGATGGTGCCTAAGGTCATAAAGCATAGAAACACAATGAACAACAAAGTTGTGCCGCTTGTACTTCCATCCTGCATCAATGTGACGGACAATTATGCTTACAAACTCTACAAGTCAATGATCTCTCCCTCGTGCGGAAAAATCAGCAAGCTCAACTAGGAAAAGAAAACAGCACATACCGATCCATCCGTCAGGAGAGCAAGGGAGATGAGGTTTCCTACAAACTGCAGACTCAAAGGGAACAAAGCAGTAATCAGGTTTGTATTCCAAATGTCAGTCCGGCAAACTGGAATTACTGTCTATTAGTTTGAAAATAACCTGGTGAGCAGCAAACATGCCCCAAAATTCTCCATTGAAGCTGCCAATGACAGTTGGTTCGTGCAAATTGTGATCACTCGCATGACTTCGTGCTGTTGAAGTGAGATATGTACCCTGAACACGGATAATTGAAAGATCAGAGAGACAGAGAGAGCTTCTAGAATCCCAAACTACTGTTATTTACAACCTGAAAAAAGAACAAAGAAAGATGTAACTAGCATACCTGCCCAACCCATATGATTGAAGCAGCAAACCCCAGGTAAACAGAGGCTGGCACCATGGTATACCTAATTGAAAACCAGTTTCCATCAAAACATGTCTAAATATATTCATTTCAAGACTGGGAATTGAAATGGAAATTGGTATATGTCAATACCATGAGGGCTTCAAGTTGGCAGCAATAAACAGCCAATACCCGGTAGTCCCAAGAACAATCGCATACTTGGAACCCAAAGCTCGAACCACCGACGATGCCGTCACTGAGAAGATAGTGAAGGACACATACAGTATCCCCAGAGAAATCGTCCCCAAATCCCCCTGCTGCTTACACAGAATTCAAGCTATTCAACATACGAAAATTGGGTGTGGGGGAAAGGAACATAAATTCAAATCTGAAAACTCTAGCAGACGATAGCGAATGAAGTGTGGAAAGTAAGTAGGTAAGTAAGTAACTAACCGAATTGACTGTAGTCTCGAGATTCTGAGCAGCTCCATAAGCGAGAAAAATGAGCAAGAACGCGGAGCTCAGAATATGGACATCTCTGGTGTGGTTCGTCGGTTTACCAACCTGCGAATTTTGACCAGCAGCGACTAATGGCGACTCTTCGTCTCTGGGGTTACCGGCGTCCATTTCTGCGTCCACGCTCGCCCTAATTCAATCGATCACCTGGAATTCGGATGCTGCTTATCCATTTATATGATTGCTGGTGGTGATCCGGAAATCCAGAGCGCAAGGTCGAAACAGCTTGCCGGCTGGACAATTGAGCGCTATTAGACAAACGGAACAGTCCGGATTTCTGGAGTAATAAGAAAAGGAGGAGGAGGAAGCTTTGGAGTGGATC